CCACATTTGGCAAAATTTGGTCAAAAACGTTAAGAGAAGGTTTTTTTCTTTTTTTTTTATTTTATAACATTTTTTTTTTTGTTTTTTGAAAACCCTTATAAAGAGGAACGCTGGAAGGTGTAGCTATTTTATAACATTTAATAATTCAAAACTTTTTCATTATTACTAATAAGGCTTCACAATAAATGGGAAAAGTTTATTTCTGAATTTTATACGCTTCGAAATTCACTAGTAATAGCTGATTTTGATCATCATTGGATGAAGCTAATGAATAAATACCCTGAGATTCAAGGATACTGTGATCGAGTATTATATCTAACCAAAGAGTGCTAGGCATATGCATTTACAAAACGGAAGTTCTCAGCTAATACACATTCAACACAGCGGGTCGAAAGTATAAACCATGTTATAAAATTAGAGGCAAATTCTGGAAATTCTTTATGTCAGCTTCAAGTCGGAATTGAATTACAGTTAAAAGATGAAGCAAAATATGCAAGTCTACAGGAATTTCAAAATATGAACCCAACAAGAGGTCTTCCTCATGTTTCCAATACAATTTTTAAAAGCATTGATAACATGTGTAAGAAATACCTTATGCCAAATTCATTAGCTTTACAGTGCAAGCAAATGCTGGAAAGTCTTTTATATAGAGTTTTATTATATTTTAATAAACTTAACAATGATATGAATCAGGCAAGTGCTTCTATCATATTTCTAATTTTACGTATTTGTTACTTGATAAAGATGCGTTTCATTATCTGCTTTTGGCCCAAATTAACAATTTTGGCCAAAAACTGATAACGGATCACACCTTTAATTACTTGTTATGTTATTACTAAAGATCATATGCAATATTTGATTAGGAATCAAACTATAATGTAGGATTCATAGAAGATGATTATGATGAGCCACAGGTATTATTAGATATAGCTTTAGAGTATTGTGCTGGAAGTAATGTCAATGAAATATGGGAGGTTAACTATATTCAAAGCACAACGAATCATTCGCAATTTATTTTATTACTTGACGATGGTACACACTATTGCACGTGTCTCTATCTAGTCTATACTAGATTTGTATATCAGCATTTTTTTGCTGTGATGATTCAGTCCAAAAAAGCATTCTTCAATATGAGGTTGATACCTTCACGTTGGTTCTCTGAAGGTCTTGCAATGTTTGATAATGATCAAGAATCTTCGATTTAGATAATACAAAATGAAAATAAACCATCTACTAGAACATTTCAGATATTAGAAAGGATTCATGATCAAGAAGTTAATAATAGAGTTGCTGTGGAATTAGAATCGAAAAAAGTTTCTTATTGTCGTAGTTTGGGGTTTTGTAAAAAGGCTCTCAATATAGCAATTACGAATGATTCTAATAAGGCTTTGGAAAATTTCTTGCAACAATTTATTGATGAACAGATTTTATCACAATGTCAAAACACATATGAACCATCTGTGCAAGAATTAGATCAAAGGACCAATGATCTTAAAATTTCAGACCCACTTCAACATAAAGGTAAGGGCCATCCTGCAAACAAAAGATATTTATCTGCTAATGAGAATCATGATATCAAGAACGTTGGCTTGAACCATCAAGATGATGAAACATTAGAATCAGGATCAATGAAAAAAAACAAGCGGCAATGTGCTATGTGTAAGTTATGGTATCATGATTCTTGAAATTGTCCTTTAAAAAAAATGACTGAATAAGGTCAAACATACATACTAGGCAGAGTAGTGGGCATTACAATTTGCTATTTGATGTAGTTATGTGATTATGAATTTATTTGTACATTGATCATTTGAACGCTTGTTTTGTTATCATATATACAGTTATATGTAAATGTTATATTTGCATATAAAATACTAACTTTTATCTAGCAGTTTCAATGAAAGTTAAGCATAGGTATTAATTGCAATGTATAGTACTTATTAGTTACATATAAATCGATGTTATTTTATGTTAGCTGTGCCGAATAGTAAACTACAAATATAAATAAATGTTTCAAAGCATCTTTTTTTAAGAGTTAGGGTTAGGGTAAGTGCTATTTATGTTTATTTTTTCAGGTTAGAGGGGTTTAGTATAAATGATGTGGCTTAAAAATCATATTCCTTTAAGAGTTAGGGTTAGGGTGAGTGCTACTAATGTTGATTTTTCAGGTTAGGGGTTATTTAGAAAGAATTACTTTATTCAAAAGTTTTATTATTCAATCATAATATGTACGATATGTTCATATTAACAATTTGTGTTACTAACTCTAATATAATTACTGATTTAAAAAAAGCGTTGTGGTTATACATGTTTTCATTTATATGTATATGCAAGTTCAAAGCTGGGTTTGCTATTACAAGCCGATAATTTGATATTTTGTGCAATATACCGATAACATGTTATATTCATATGTTGTTTTACATTAAATCATATTATGTTAATAAGTCATATTATGTTGTGTTATATTAATTTAATTAGCTAACTTAGGGTAGGATATTAATAGCCCCTAGTATTAATTATAATTATTCTAATAAATATAAGTTGTAATAATAATGTAATAAATAATAAATAAATAATAAATAATAAATAAAAATTAAATAAATTATTAAATTAATAATTTAATATTCTGTTTCTAATTTATAATGATTGTGGGTTCAAATAAAGTTCGATAATAGTATAGTTTCAGTTATTAACTATTAAAATATGGCTTAAAAACTTGGCTATATTCTTTAGTTTGTAGTTTATAAGTACTATTTCCTAATTTCTGATGTATATAATAAGGACCTTTAAATTTTTCTTCAAATTTTACTGATCTTGATGCAGCAATATCAGGGCATACAACAAGAACCAAATTTTCTACTTTGAAATCATGATACTTGAACTTCTTGTTATACCAAGCAATTTGTTTTTGTTGTGATTTGGCAATATTTTGTTGAGCTTGTTCATAAGCAGTAGATAGCTTGTCAATAAGTTCATAGGCTTGTTGTAATATACTTCCTTGTAGATCAATTTTATCAGTTTCTGTTTCTTGTATAGGCAGAATAGTTTCAATTGAGAGAGTAGCCTGCCTTCTATATAGTAATTAGAAAGAAGTATATCTAGTAGTATCATACTTTTTTGTATGATAGGCTAAAAGAACTGCATTCAGATAGGTGTTCTAATCATCAGAATCTTTAATTTTAGCAAGAAATTTACAAAGTGTTTTATTAAATCGCTCTACAAGTCTATTGGTTTGTGAATAATATGGTGATGAAAAGTGATGCTTAATTAAAAACTGTTTATACAAGATTTTGATCAAGTTACCTCTAAAGTTGGATCCTTAATCGGATAGTATAATCTTGGATACTCTATGTCGACAAATGATTTCCTTAAAGATGAATTTTGCAAATACAAATACACTAGCATCAGGTACAGCTCTAGCTTTAGGCCACTTAGTTAAATACTCAGTAGCAACAATAATATACTGATGATTTTGTGAAGTAATAGGTAGAGATCCAACAAGATCAATTCTAATTCATTTAAAAGCTTTTTCTACTTGAATAGGATGTAATTGATCTGTTTTCTGATTCTTTTCTCAACATTGACAAGTATCACAGGTTCGAATATAGTTTCTAATATCTTCATACATATCATCCCAATAATATCATTCTATCATTTTTCCAAATACTGCATCAACACCTAAATGTCTAGCAGTAGGATGATTATACATTATAACAATACTGGTTCAACTTCATTCTACGTAAAAATTTGGTTGGGTCCTTTCTAGTTTTCTTGTATAATAGTCTATTTCTTGTACAAAAATATCTAGTACGAGATAAAAATTTCTTTTTTTCTTTTTCTGTAAATGAAGGTAATTTGTTTGTTTCTAAATAGTTCACCAAGTATCGATAAAAATTTAAATCTATGATGCAAAAGGAGTGTTTGGGTTACTAGTTCTAGACTCAAGCCTTGATAAAGCATCAATATTAGAGTAAATACGACCAGGTTTGTGAAGAACTTCAAAATTATAAGGTTGCAGTTTCATGATCTATCGACCAAACTTTTCTTTTGGTTCTTTTGTTTTTAACTACTGAAGAGCAGAGTGATCTGTGACAAAAGTAAAAACAGAAGTTCTAAGATATTTGTGAAAGTGTTCTATAGCCCACACAATACTAGCATATTCAAGTTCAGTAGCAGCATAGTTTTGTTCCTCTTTTCTAAAACTTTTGCTAGCATAAACAATAGGATATTCTTTTTCCTTATCATCTTTTTGACTAAGAGTAGCTTCAAACCCTTGATATAAGGAGTCTATAGCGAGAATAAACCTTTTTTAAAATTAGGATATGCAAGGATAAGGGCAGTAACTAGTTGTTGCTTTAGCTTCTCAAAGACTTTTTGTTGCTTAGCTTTCTATTCATAAGGTTTATTCTTTTGAAGCAATTTATTTAAAGGATTAGCAATAGCTGAAAAGTTATTAATAAATTGTTGGTAATATCCAGCTAGTTCTAAAAATGACCAAAGTTTGGTAATCCCAGTAGGTGGAGCAATGTTTTGAATAGCTTCTATCTTTTTGGGGTCAGGTACAATTTCTTTTTCACTTACAATATAACCAAAAAAGAGTAGTGAAGTCATTCAAAACTTGCATTTTTCAATATTAAGTCTGAGATCTGCTTTTCTGATCCTTTGAAATACAATTTGAAAGTGATTCAAATGTTTCTCAAAAGTTCATAAGAAGATATTAGTATTATTCAAGTATACAACTACAAACTTCTAATTGATATCCTGGTAAATATGATTTATAAGTCTTTGAAATGTAGCAGATGCATTGCAAAGACCAAACAGTATAATATTAAACTCGTAAATACCATAATAAGTTATAAATGCAGTCTTTTCCTTATCTTTAAAGTCCATTTCTACTTGCCAGTACCTACTAGCAAGATCTAAGATAAAAAACCACTTAGCTCCTGACAAGATATTGAGCATTTCATCAATACGAGGAAGAGAATAAGCATTCTTTTTAGTAATGCTATTAAGTTTTATATAGTCTACACAAAACCGTAATTTCTTATTCTTTTTCTTGACAAGAACCACAGGTAAAGTTCAGAGGCTTTTGGAATGCCTGATCAACTTATTTTCTAACATCCTTTTAATTTCTTTTTCAATAAATGCTTATTTATCTGAAGAAGCAGAGTAAGGTCTAGATTTTATTAGAGACACATTTTTGGTATAAATCTGATACTTTACAATATCGGTTCTTCCTAGTTTATTGATATCCTTGGCAAATAAATCTGCAAATTCATCTAATAATTTCTTAAATTGTTTGCCTTGTTTAGTTGTAAGTTGACCTGTTTCCACATAATTTTCTGAAGTTAATAAGTACTCCTCTTCTAGTTTTAATTGTCCAATAGTATAGACTTTCTGAGAATTTAATCCTTCTTTCTAGAATTCTGTTTCTTCTGCAGATACAGATTGGGCAAAGCATTGTATCCAGAATTGGTTTTGTTGTTTATTCCTTTCTTCTTGTCATTAGGTTAATTTTATATAGTCCTAATACAAAGAGAAGAGTAACTGGCTTAATCATTCATTTTTCTTTTGAAGTTGTAAAATTTGTTGTGCTTGCTGATTTATAGTATCTTGTAGTTTAGGCTCTTGTTCTGGTTTTTTTCCTTTTTGTAAACTAGTAAATAGCTTTGTTTGTTCCTGATAGCATTCATTACAAAGACCTTGATTGGGCTCTAGTTCAGAAATATGTTTAGCAAACAAACAATCTAAACATAGAGCTACTTTGCCTTCAAATTAGTATGCAAGTTGGCAATAGCTTGCTGATGGTTAAAATTAGTATTCGGTAGATCAAAAGACTTAGCTAAAATTTGGTTTAATTGTTGTTTTTCATTAGTAGTTAATTGTATTTCACCAACACAGAAGAGCAGAGTTAATTCCTTATTTGTAAACTCTCTATTAAATCTATCTGTTTCTTGTTCTACTTCTGCTTGAACAATATTCTGAGGTGTTATACCAAGCAAGATTTGGGCTATCTGGTAAATACTATCTTGGTTCATATCATAATAACTTCTAGCACTTTTGTTAGACTTAGTATAATGCTTAATTCTGGTCCACAAGTTATAGTTTGGGTTATACTTGATATATTCACTAGCTTTGTATGTATATATATGCTCAAAGCTACAAAACCAAGTTCTATTTGGCAAATTATGCATGTTGTGTTTAGGATTTTCTTTTTCACATACTATATATTGAACTAAAGTTCCTTTTTCTAATCCTTGTTTATAATAATAATGGCTCTTGAAGTCTTCTTGATTCAAATTTTCATGATAGTCCTTATAGTATACTTTGCAAACTAGAAACCCTTCTAGTAGTATTAATTCATTACCAAATTGAGAATACTTGCATTGATAGCAATAATGTTTTTTCTTTTGACTATTATAATATACTTTTTGGTTAGAAGCTTCCTCTTTATTACAACTACATTGATATCTTTTATTTTCTTGTTCAAGTTTACTTCTAGGACAATTAGCACTAATATGTCCTTTGTTATTACATTTTCTATATTCATTTTCTGGACAATCTTTAAATTGATAACTTGATTAACTATATTTAGCACAGGTAGTACATTTAGATTTTTGGTAAGGATATTTAACAGCAATATATCCATACTCATCACATCACCAACATTTATTATATTAGCAATCTTCAAAATAGTGATCAGTTTGTCTAAAGGTTTGACATCTTTGGTTTTTCTTGTGAAAGATTTTTGGTTTTCGTTGATATATAGTTCATTCTGAATCTTTAATATTATTAGATTCTGCTTCTAAAGTATAGGCTTTATGAGAGATTAATTCTTCATTTTCATATTCTTCTTTTCAGTTATCATCCACTTTGCTAACTATGGGTTGTCTTTCTACAGCCTGGTTATGCTCATAGGTAGTAGATACAATAATATGATAACTGTCCCAATGCATAATATATTCCTTAGTTTTCTAATCATATTGGGCTTTTACTTTGCAAGACCAATCATTTCTCAAAATAAGAGAGTAAGTAGTTGCTGGTACAACTTCTATGGAGATATGAATAGTAATTCCTGCAATTTCTACAGAAACATCCTTAATAATACCTAGAGATCTAACTTGTTTTCCAAGTACAAATGAAATTAAACTATTAGAAGAAGTGTTTATTTCTAATCTAATTTCTTTAGCAGCTTGTTGAGTAATTATACTAATAGCAGCTCCACTATCAATAATAGCCATAAATAGTTTATTATAAATAGTTGTTTGATACTTCACAGAAATAGTTTGTAGTCTATTAGAGTGTACCCGATTTATAATATTGGAGTCACCTTGCAGATAATTTGCTAAGGCTTCTCTAATACTAGTATTATTTAAAAGAATATCCCAATGATTGGTAGAGGTGGTTTCTTTATTATTTGCCAAGTTGATATACTGACGAATAGGAGATCTATAATGAACTTTCTGGTCTTTAGACTGACTTTTAAACCTGCTTCTATCATATTGATTATAATCTCTAGATCTGCTTCTATCATATTGATTATAATCTCAGGTGTTTCTTCTGTACCTTTCTTGACTCCTAGATAGATTTTTTCTATAATTCTGAGATCCTGATCTGAATCTTCTTCTAAAATCTCTATTTTGGCTTGAACAATTCCTTTCTTTATTGAGTTGATAATGTATAGCAATATATTCTAAATTATTACATTAAAAACAACAGATAGTTGGGTTCATACTTTTATTTCTTTCTTGATTCTGATTGGTTAAATTATAATTACTTTTAACAGTATAAGCTTCCTTTTTGTTATTTTGTTAGACCAAATTAAGACTCATATTTTTAAAACTATTAGTTAGAGGATTTACAAATATTACGTAATATAATTTTAATAATAATACAACCCCCTTCTTCCCACGTAAGATATCTAATTTTAACCAATCAAAATAAGATTTATACAGATGCTTATCCACCAATCGAATAATGTGATTTACTATCACGTGATATAATTGTAAATTATGATTCGTAAAGCAGATTAAAAAGTTAAAGATTTGTGACCAAATAATGATGTAATTAATTATTGAGTAAAATTGAGTAAAAAAAAAAAGTATTTATAAAAGATAAATTGGAAAATGCTCTTCAATCAAAATTAAAAATATGCGATAGTTCAAATAAAAGATACCAATTGTCACCATGATACATTTGTTTCAACTATATATATGTATAATTCATGAGTCGATTCATCAAATTTGGCAGTTTATTTAAATTACGATATTCATGAGTAAATTCATCAAATTTGGCAGTTCATTCAAATTATGATCTAGTCTTTGGATAAACAATCATTGCCCTTTTATATTGTTTATATGCATTATCTATATATGATGAAGTAATGTAGCAATAAAAAAAATGTGTATTATTTAAATCTCACATACCGTTTCCTATATATAAAGATATAAAAATTTGCTATTATTTTTATATTTTTTTACTTCAATGATTTTTATATATTACTTAAATGATGCAAACCTATCTCATGACCCCAAAATTTAACAAAAACTTTTGCTATAAAAAACCAAACTCTACATACTATTGTTTTTGCAATGCTTTTGCATATAGACAAATAGTTCTTACTAAAAATCTCAATTATAATCATGAAATCTTGTTTTGTGATACAAATAATGAATGAAAAAAATATAAAAAAGATCTCAATATTCAAAACATAATTGATAAATTCTTTAATATACCAGTTCCTCTGCAAGGATTTCCTATTCTATACACACAATGTTCAATACAATCAATTAATAATAATTCGTGTATGAATACAACACCTCAAGTAACACTCCAAATAACATTCTGAGTAATATCTTAATTACTACTTCAAGAATTAAATGAAACAAATAAACCTTCTCGTACAAATGCTGTTGTTCAAAAAGAAGTTATTAATCAAATAAATGAAGCAGAAAAAAAACTAATAGAGTTTATTTCTCTATATGATGCCACTAGTGATTTTCAGCTTTATCAGGATTTTTATGTTTGTATTAATAATCTAAAAAAGGATTTTGAAAAAAAAAAAAATTTAGAACAACTTAAGCGAAATACAAACTATCAGCAAAAATGTAGATTGAAAAAAGAAAAACGAGTAAGAGAGGAAAATAAAGTTGTCATGTATGATCGTGCTGGCTGCTCTTCAGATCTTTTTGAGTATCCTGATCTTCTTGAGCATATACACAATTTCATTGAGTTTGGCATAGCTAATGCCAAAAGAAGGAAAGAAGTAATTAAAGTTTGATCAGTATCACATCTGCAAGAAGAGCTTAAAAATAATTACAATGAATACTTATCGATAAACACGTTTCGTGATTATATGTTGCCAAAGAACAGAAGTTCTATCATAGCCAGAGCTCACCACCACCCTGCATTGATTGGAATAGCTAATGTTTCATGAAATAAAAAAAGAGAACATGTTGATACTCATTATTGCTTAGCTTCAATAAAAACTTCAAAGATATTTGCAAGTACGTTTCCTAATATATTAGTCCTGGTGTCTCAAGATGACAAGGCAAAAGTTAATGTTGGTATACCTGCTGTAGAACGTATGTTTTAAACAATTCAAACAATTGCTGAACCCATAGAATTAGAAAACCATGATTTTCTGATTGAAACATCACAAAAATTAGTTCCAAGTATATATTTGATGATCAATCTAACAGATTCAAATGATACATTGAGAACAGGACAACTCTTAATTTATGTATGACCACAGTAGTATATTGGATCAAGTTCTTTAACACACATACAAAACTTGATTAATCTTTCATCAATGAAAGAGTATGAAGAAGTTTTCAAAATAAATAATACTGTCAAACCAGTTTGAATATTACTCACAGATGGAGATCCAGACGAAAATTCCTAGTTTATCAAAAATATCTATCAGTATTGTTATTTGTTTAAAAAATTAGATCTTGATTATCTTACTATACGCACTAACATACCAGAACAATCTGCATTTAATCTTGTTGAGAAAGCCATGGCAAGCTTATCTAAAAAATTAGGTGGAATTTCTTTTAGTATTGACATATTCAGAAAACACCTTGATTCTCAAAGTAAAGTAATTAATAAAGATCTTGGGCTACAAAATTTTTGGCATGCTGGGGAAGCTTTGTGTAATATATGGCGGTATAATAAAATTTTTGGCAAGCCAGTCTATTGTGAATATGTTGATGAGTAGCCGATGCCTCTTTTGGATGTTGTTTTTGAAACAAATTCAGATCATAGTAATGAAGAAGCCAATAATAAACATGAGAAACCAGAAGTTGAAAATGCTAAACAAGTTCCATAAGCCTGGATTGAAAATCATACAAAAATATGCAAGTATTCTTTGTATATTCAAAAATATGAAGTTCCTGAATGCTGTTTACCAAAATGAGCTTCTGAGGTTGCTGCCTTTCTTAAACCTACAAATGGTTTTCTTCTACCAGTAATTCAAAGCAAAGACAATCACTTTTTGAACCCGATTCATACTGTACAATATCTAGATTCAGCAAAATTGGCAAAATATAATGAACATTGCCCTTCAATTAGTACTGAACAATACTCACACCTTGTATGCAAAAAATGCAAAAAATGCTTTCCTACTTGTGCTTTTCTTGTAAACCACAAACGTTTTGCTCATCCTAAAAGTAAATAAAACCTTAGATAAATAAGATCTGTATAAATTTAGAGCTAGAAATTAATATAAATAAATCAAATTTTAAGTGAAATAAAACTTATCTTTTGTGAAATTTAAATATGATTATTCTAGTTTTTTTGTAATACGTATATAATTTCTATTCTTAAAACTTTGTATTATATAAAAGATTCGTGACCCTCTTCCTATCTATATGATATTATATAATATCTGTGAGTTCCCTTAAATCTTGGATCATGTTTTCCACCTTACTAGTAGATCTAGAAGCTAATATTTTTTCAGGTTTCTATCTTCTGGTTGTTTCAATTGCAGTATTTATATTTGCAGAGTTAGATGCTTGTATATAGATAGCCAAGTCAGGTTAAAGGCTTTGTATAAAAAGTTGTTTAATAAAATCTTCTAAAAATCCTTCATTAGGATCAATTCGATTACGAAGCTTTTTAAACTAATTAATATAGGTATTGACTGAATCTGTTTCTTGCTGAATATCAAAGAGTTGTTTTTGCCAGGCAGCTTATTGAGTAGAAGTAGAGAAGCATATTTTAAACATATAGTAAAAACTACAGGCTTGGGCATTATCAGTTCTAAAAGAGGTAGCAGTTTGGTATTATTTAAAGATTAGTACTATTCTTAAGCAATATCTTTAAGATATACAGAGGCAAGCTCCAATTGTCTGTCTATATTCTATCTATTAGCAATAGCTACACATTCAAATTCTTCTATCTATTCAACAGAATCTTGGGACCTATCTCTTTTGAAGTATTTCAAGGTTACTAAAGTTTTTTTACCTTCTTGTTCTAGTGCAGTAGCTAAAGCTTGTATAGTAGCAGCAGCATCCCGTAAAGCATCAGCTTCAGCTATTAGTTTAGGATTTATAGATAAGTAGGGTTTGCTTCAATATTAATCTGATCAAGAATTTGATCTGTTTCAAAACCAAATAATTTATGGGGTATACTAAAATTAGGATTTAAAGTTACAGATTCAGATAGGGAGATATTAATAGATAATTGATATGATATAGATCCTTTACTAAAAGAACTATCTTCCAAATAAGTAATATTGGTAGAGTCAGAGTATTGGGTTAATTAGAAGCTACTATTAGAAATATATAAAGTTTCAAGTAGTTCTAACTCTTCAGATAGATTAATTAAATCCTCTACTTGGTAGTTAGTATCAATATATAAGTCGTAGAGATTAGCAAAATATATCTCTAAAGGTGAATAATATATAAAGGTAGTATATCTTTGTAATAAGTAAATTATTAAAAATTTGGGATCAGGAATTTTACTATAATAGCGACAGCTAAATATTATATCTCGAGCAGCTCTGTGAGCAATAGTATATCTTGTAGTATGTTTTAAAGTATGTAGTTGATTACAAGTAGATAAGCTACAGGATTGTAATGTGGTAATAGTATGATACTACTTGATAAACTAACCAAACTGTTCGTTTGAACTATATCATCCAAGAGAAAAACAAATAGAGCAAGATAAATTTGAATAATTGAGTTGTAAATTTAGGTAAAATAGTGAAGTAGTTTGTTGATAAGCTTGTTCATGTAAGACTATTTGATCGTTATGAAACTTAGTTATAGTAGTCATATACTATATTATATTCTGATTATTTTTCTCAAAACCAAATGCTGAAATCTAATTGACTATTTCATTCTGAATTTGCTAGCAATATAAAACAAAATCTTATCCAGGATATACACGGCTAGGAATATTATATTCAGAGATTACACATAGCTGGGAATATTATGTTTAGAAATTACACATAGCTGGAAATATTAGATCTAGAAATTATACATAGCTGGGAATGTTACGTCCAGAAATTACACTAGTTTATTGTTTCTAAATTAAAGATTTTAATAAAAAGGTTTCCTTAATACTAAAATACCCGTTAATAATTTTGTGTTTCTGCCAGAAGGCACCAAAATATTACAGTGGTACTCAAAATATAAGATAATATTGACAGATATAGAATAGTTTAGTTTAACAATAAAATTATACAAATAAATTACACAAATAGTACAAGTAATACAAATAGTACAGATAATACAATTTATGTTATAAGAGAAGGGCACAGATATTAGATAGCCAATCTAGTATCTATGGGAAGATAGGAATTGTAGGTGAGATATCTGTAGGAACTAAGGGAAAAACCTCCCTTTATATATCTGTTGAAGTGGTATACACTAGTATACACCAAGTAGCATACGCTGGCATACAACTATATGGCAGGTGGCATACACTGGCATACAACTATATGGGGTGTCTTCAATTAAAAAGGCCTATTTTTACATTTATCTTATTTCGAGATAATTGAGTTTAAACATTTGTTTTGATTTTCGGACTGATCTGGGATTAATCAAATTTCACAATTTTGATTGGTTAATGGTAACAGGTGACTATCGGGTAATCTC